AAGGGAAAAATTTCTGCAATGTTTTTAAGAAACTGTTTTATGTCTCATAGCAGCAATCAAATGTTGTACACAAATAAAAGGTTTAATAAACCATTATTGTAATTTTTTTACTACATTCTTCTTAAAAGTTACAAGCAAATACAAAATCTATTAATTATTTTGATCACATTAAAATGTTATCAATTTTGCGATAAAACTCAATGGTACTATTCGGTTTCGACGGCCGTTAAAAATCGCCAAATTATTGTTGATGCCAATGCTGCTAAAAAGAATTGCGGCAAGAAATGCAGTATAATAGTAAATAACTATCTAAGATTGATGTTTTAATTTAGATGAAAGGTTAATTTCATATAATACTTTTTTATTATTATAATTTATATGAAAAAGGCTAAACATGACTGAATGGAAGCATAAGAGTAAATAACTATTTCAGAATCATTATTATAATTTATATAAAAATTGCTAAACATAACTGAATGGATGCCTGCATCGCTATTTCGCTACCGACTTATCGCTAAAGCATAATTTCATCTCGTTGGTTGTTCAAACGTAATTTTCTATAATGAATGATGCCTTTTCTTTGAAAATATTCTCGGTAAAGTGCAGAATCGCTCACTTATTTGTTTGCCGCTTTTTACAAGGTAAAAACAATTGGATTTTTGTCAATTCTCTTTTACTTTTTAAGTGAAAATAGGTCGGTGAGTACATAAATAAAGTCAAGGGTGTGCGCAGTGCCATTTTTGTGCAAATCTAGGATTTTTTTTGGGGGGGGGTAAAAATAGGTATTATACCGAGTATGTACAATTCGTAAAAACGCGTCAAGCAGTGGGTGATTCTGCACTTTACCTCAAATTCTATTGTCGACTTTTCGTCATAAGCAATTCCCAAATTGTTAAATTGATACGATATCAAAAAAAGATTTAAAAATTAAACTAGTATTTCAATGGCGTTGTCGCGAACGACGCACACTCCGCTGTTGGGGAACAGATTGAGTCTCCAGACCGACGAGAATCGAAAAAGAAAGTTTGTTTTTTTTAGAACTGGCAACGATGAGTGTATGCTTTTAGAACAGTGACGCAGTAGAATAATGATGCTAAGTAGTTAGAATTTTTTTTTTTTTTTTTTTGATGTTGTAATGATTTAGAAATTGTTCCTCTTTTGTGTGAAATGTCAAATAAAGTGATTCATACAAAATAGTGCCAGTTTTAGATGAGTTTGAAACCAAATCGGAGTCTACAAAAGCGGCGGACCAGAATCGAAGAACGCGGATCATAAAGGTAAGCAACCTTTCTTCATTTGCTTATCTAGAATTTTGAATGATCTGTTTTTTACTGAATTGAAATGATAGGCGTCTTAAGAAATATAGAACTATATAAACTTACGCAACCTGAAATCAACGAGTATGCTAGATTTGGCGCACTGTTAAATGGGCGCGTTTACTAGATTTGGCGCTTTTGCGCATACATTTCCGCTGCAATTTTCTTACGGTCCTCAAAACAGAATAGTACCGAATTTCCTTAATGATTTTTAAATACTGAAATTCTTTATAAAATCTTCTTAATCTTCTTAAATATGTTATATTAATAATATTTTTCTGTAATTAGTAAATTCTTTTAAGTTAAACTGTTAATACACAATAAATTAATGCTAAATAATTAATGAATTGTTGTTGAATATCAAGATTACTTAGGTGATCTGTTAATGTCTGTTTAGGTAATCTGTCAATGTCATTAAAAAGCGGAAATATATATCATTAAATTACATATGAATAGTAAGGGGGTACAGGCACCTGCGCGGAATCGCTATCTTGGAGTAACAGGTTGGCGAATTTCTAATGAAGTATGCCAAGAGCATTTGTAACCTGTACAAAGTATATACAATCTTTTCTTTTGTAGGACTTTTTGTAGACTGTGAGTGGCAGCAGTAGAAACGAAAATAGGCGTGGAATGATGTTGTCTAAAAAAGAACGTCTTTAAAAAGTGAATAATAAATTGTTTTCTTTTAAATTTAGTAGCGTAAGGTTATTCTCAAACCAGAAAAATAACGTTTATGATATCGCAACTGCTACATTATTTGGTGATCTGAAGTTAGCAACGGTAAATATTAGGGAAAATACAGAGAAGACAGGAAACCAGTCAAATGGTGCGAATTCTTCGGAAACTATGTAGGGTCAGTATAAAAATTCCACCTTTTTGAATAGATAAGCCAGAAATTTGATTTTATCAGATAGAGGCACAGTTTTAAATTAATGGGATTAAGTTATGAAGATACCCACTTTAATGACATTGTCTCACAAATGAAACCTAACTATGTAGATACTATTTGGGATATAATAACTGATAAGACTGAAAACAAATATTCATTGGCAAAAGAGCGTTTATTAATTATATCTAAAGAAAGTGAAAATAAACGAATCAAACGTCTTTACCCTGGCGTTGAAATTGGCGACATGAAGACATGAAACACAACCATCTGTTACAAAAAATTAAATCCTTGGCAACTTGTGATATTTCTGCCAGGGTATTAAAAAAACATTATGGAGAGACAAACTGCCGCATCATATCAAAGATATATTGGCGTTTAGTGATGAAGGTATTGATAAATTGGCGATTACAGCTGATAAGATTTTCGACAAGCATTCACAAACTGACTTATATGATGAGGTTCATTCAACTGAAGTTAATAATTCGAGCGCGTTGCCAAACATTTTACAGTTAGTGAAAAAAATATCTTCATTGGAAAAGCGGATTGAAGAACTCCATCTCCATCACCAATCAAATGAAAGAAGTCGTCATACAGAAAGAAAAATAGATCATCGTCTAGAGGCAGAAGTAGAATTCGGAAGCGTTATAATCCGGATGGTAAGCTGTGTTATTACCACTTCACTTTCGGATCCAGATGCTTTCCGGGAAAATGTAAGCCACCATGTAATTGGAAAAACCCGGAAAACTTGCCTGCGCAGCAGAATCAGAATTAGCAGCCTGAATCAGAATCTGCTGCTGAAGATTTATAGAATTGCCATGAATTCAATTATAGACTTTTTGTAATAGACAAAAAACTAGGATAAAATTTTGATTGACAGTGGTGCAGATGTAAGCCTAATTTCAGTCACCTGTAATGACAAGTAAGTAGCTATTTTAAAATTTTATTCAAATGGTACTGAAATACCATGTTTCGGACATAAAATTGTAACTCTTGATTTTTCTCTAATTTATCTGTTTTTGAAACCTGTTTCATTGATGTATGCGTTTAGTCACATGACAGGAGAGCGTGTGCAAGGTCAAAAAGTTTACGATTGGGCAGGGGGCCAAACTATTTGCTCTCATTGCTACGTTTCTTTTTCTTTTGCTGTATTTCACTTTCTGATATACTGTAAAAGAGTTGTGCCTGTGAATGTGAAAGAAAAAATTGTCAATCGCATAAATTTGAGTCACGCTGATATAGCTAAACTAATAGATGCTTCTGACAGCGAAGAAGTATTCGAGTATGAAAATCATGCAATTGCTGAAATTGAGAGCGGAAGTTCTGACAACGATTTTGATACCAATATTCAACAAATGAACTATAAAGAGAGTATTCAGTCCAAGTCGTTAAATAAAGTGAAAGTTGGATCCGTTGCCATTCTTCTCAATCAGCAACTGCTAATATTACAAAAACTACTCCAGGGGTCACAAAAATAAGCAACGGCAAGGATAGCAGACTTAAAATGTGTTTTTGAGGTAGTATTCAATTCTACAATTGATGGCGAAACCATAAAAATAACCACTATTGAAGGAGAAAAGGTTTATGGAAAAAACCTTTTCTCCTTCAATATTAGTCATGAAAAAAAGTCAAAAATATTGAAAGTAAAACTTTTCAAGCACATATCAGATCATTATTGTTAGTTGGTGTTTTATACATCATATGAAGAATCAACAAAAAACTCATGGAATAAAGAAGAAATTTGGATAAATTAGTTGCAGTGCAAGATAGTTGAGAAAAATGGATAGAAATTCTACCAAAATTATATAATCCGAATGAAAATATTACTGTAGATGAAAAATTAGAATTTTGTGGCCGATGTCTTTTCAAACAGTATATACCAAGTAAGCTATCTAAATATGGGATCAAAATGTGGATTTTATGTGACAATAAAACTTCGTATATACTGAAAAAACAAATTTACTTTGGAGAACAAGCATCAAAGCCAGAGAAAAATCAGGAGATGCGATGTGTATATAGTGGGTGATCTTACCTATGGGTATTCGGGGATAATATTACATGTGATAATGTTTTCACATCTTACACCTTAGGACAACTTTTTCTAAAATGGAAAATCACTATGCTTGGCACCATTAGAAAAAATAAATCAGAACTTCTTAATAAATCGCTGGGCCATGATAGCATTCTATAACATGCTTGATACTTCTGCGTTCAATGCATTTGTTCTGTGAACTTCAATACATAGTGAATGGAACGAAAACAAATTGACTATAACGAAGGCTATGTTTGGAAGAACTGGGAAAATCACTCATTTTCCCACACATTGAAGCAAGGCCACACCTACAAAGAAGTGAGGACTCAATAAAAATAGCGACACGAATACAGAGAAAAAGGAAAAACGCACCATCGGGATTTGCTGAGAATACTTCATTTTGTGTCAAACGTGCAAGGTGCAAGCTCTGTCCATCAAGCAATGACAAGAAAACTAATATGTTATGCTACTATTGTAAGAATCACGTTTGCAGATCTCATGTAAGATATTACTGTTCAAATTATAAATAAAAATAAGTTTCAATTTCGAACATTTTTCTGTTATTTCTGTAGATGCTTTATATTATTAGATTTTTTTTTGTTAAAGTTACATTACTCTTGTTTAAACCATTTCACAAATAGCACCTGCCATTTACTACAAGAAAATGACAGGTTCCTGAACCGGGTCATATTGACCCGAACGCTACGTGCGTGGAGTAAATACGAACAGAACAGAAGAGAAGAGTTAACTACTACATTATTTTATTTAATATTTTCATTCCATTCCTCTTTTTTAACAGAACTATGCATTACAAGTAGTTTACGATAACTCGCAAATGTATGTACATTACGAGGCTTTATATGGCTGGGTGGGCAATCAGCGCTTGTATCAGTTAGCAGATCCAAACATCAGCAGCGAAGGCAGACGTTCGCTTTTCATATTGTCAGAACGATGTTTGGTTTCTACGCCGAAGACCTCAGTTCCATCTTCAAGATTAAATTGTGACTTAAATGACACTTAAGTATCAGTAACACTCTACTTTCTAACCGTACTAATAGAAGATCCAAGAGATAGCGGCAGCAAAGCGAGCAATCTCTCATAAGCTATAAATTTGGGAATCAAATCTAGACAGTGCATGAAGCCGAAGAAAACAAGATCATAGTGATAGATGCTAGTAATGTCATGATCTTTTGCTTAAATAATGCATCCTCCTTTTTAGGTATAAATTTATACTTAAATAATGGTTGAGTTGCCCGACTAAATACGATATGTTATTATTACACAAGTGCAGTCTCCACACGCCACCAACGTTCTTTGCAGATATCAAAAGTATACCAGAATTTCCAAGTTTTTCCCCGTCGTATAGTACCGTACACTTTATATATCTGTTACAGTTGTTTTCACACTTTTGTTGTTCATGTTCCTATTCCGGCAACTCAAATAGATGGCAGATGGCGACGGTGCACACTGTTTCTTCTTGCAGCAGGACAAGAGAGAACGAAACTTCTTTCTGAATTTTTGGCTGAATATGCTATATAGTAGCGGATTACAAGCAGAAGATGCATAAGCCATGATGTTGACGAATATTAGAAAAGACCAGGTTTCTTTGAAAAGGGTGCTGGAAAAGGTATTATAGAAAAGTAAAACTTGGTGGGGTGAGAAGCTAACGAAATAAACGGTTACTCCAGCAACAAGCATTTTGATGACTCCCCTTCTTGCCTTCATAGCTCCAGCAAATTTTTCCTTTCCTACAGATGGTTCCATTGTTTGTAGGGCTTCGGTGCTAAACAGCCGTTTTCCAATATTGACATAGAGCACAACCTAGAACAAACATGAAAGTTTTCATAAACTATGGAAGAGTATAAAGCAGCGGTTCTCAACCTTTTGATTAACGTGTACCATCGAGAGCAAAATTAAAAACCTTTAGTACCAACAATACAAAGTACTATTACCACCACCACCACCACTCTTGAACAGAGCTCAGATCGCATAAATTTAGGAGTGTTAGAGAAAAAATCAATCAGGATGTTGAGGTTTTATTTTTTGAATTTAATAGTTAAAAATACTTTGCTTCTTTGCGTACCACCGGTTGAGAACCCCTGGTATAAAGTAAAACATTTTTGAAAATTTTCAAGTATGAAGCAAATGATCTTTTACAGAAATTTAAAAAATGGTACTGATCTTCAAAACACAAATTTCTGATTAAGCTGATTAAAAGTTCCTTCAATATAAAAATTATGTAAAGTATAAATTCACACTGGATGTCTAAAACTGGCTATTAGTATTTAGTTTGATTTGGCAGAAACTTTATCGACAGCATTTTTGCACAATACAGTTGCTTAACAAAGACTTTACATACAGTGATATTTTCGATATAAGACTTTGAAAAATGCTGATATCTCAAACGCAGTAAGTGCATTTTAGAACATAGATATATGAGCACATAGCATGGTTTATGATAAAAAAGTCTATGTTACAGAAATTCGTTTAAAATGTTGTCAGTGCTATCCAAGCTGAGTCGAACCCTGCATATGTGCCAAATGTATTACAAGATGTTTTTGCAGTTAGTATTAAATTTGCATCAAATATTCAGTTCTAGATTCGGTATAAATACAGTCTTCTAATGTTTGTTTTTAAAGCCCAAACAGTAAAAAGTCACCTTGCGTTAGGTTAAGAGCTCCTAATGGCTACATATTCTTCGAAATTAATTATCCTGCAGAAATATTTTGATTTCAGCCCTGCTTTCGTGTTGAGTGCGAGTGTTTCGTTGAACCAACCGTTTTTTAGCTTTACACATGAAATTGGTTCACTAGCTGGTTAAATGTCTGCGGTCTGCGTGTACAGCGTATTAGCCAGTGCCATGGAAGTATATTGAATTAACCTTTGCTGCAGGCGTTTAAGCATTATATTCTTTACTATCAACTGATTTTATTTATTTCTTTTGTCAAAGTGGATTCATTTTACCGTACATTTCGTATTTGTAAGTTTTGTGACGGCTGAACCATTAATTTTTCTAAGGTCTTAAGAAAAAGTAGTAAAAGCTTTACCTCTTATACAAATGTATTCCACATAATGCATATACTAGTTCTTAAGCATTTTTCTGAATTAAATTTATCAACTTTTCCTCCTTGCGGGCAACTTCTGATGCGTCAGTTTTACCAAAGCATGGACTATTAAGTATACATGAAGCAGAAATATTTCAAAATTTAGGAATTACGTTCACAACGTTTCCGTTCGCAAATTTTACTACATTCAAATTTAGAAAATTAATCATCTTGGTTTCAAGTAAGCTTCCGAGGACTAATTTAGAGTTTGCAGTACCAAACGATCAATTTTTTATAACAGACGTTTTGCATTGAAACATATGAAAACTAAGAAAACTAAGCATTACATTCTTTTTGTTACATTTTATGCCATATTTTCCCCTCATATTTCATTTTCCTGGATGTAGGCTTAACATATACTATTTTAAATTTGTTAGTAACATATGGTACTCACCTGAAGAACGAGAGGGATGAAATAAAAGATGAAAAATTCACAATACTTGAAGATGACGAAAGCAAGGATATTGGGGAATTGTACAATGCAGGGAGTGAACTCTGTGTCAAAGGGAATGATGACGTGGTAGAAAATATTCGGAGACGCGCAGAGCATTGCCAGAGGCCAGATGATAGAAATGATGAAAATAATTCTAGTGCGGCAACAGAGAATATGGGCTTTTATTGGATGGATGATGGCCACATATCTGAAAAAAAGAAATAAACCCATAACTATCATAATTTTCAAACGTAGATTGAAAGAATTTTTAAAAAGTTGCTGAATTAAGAATAGTTGTACTTTCAGTTGATGTTAATACTTTCAGTTGATGTTCCTTTAACTGAAATTAAAGTTAAACGAAACCGAATTTAAGTATGAAATACTGAAAAGTAGGAAATTGAAATATATTTAAATCTGATGTGTAATTTTAATAATAATGATTATCTTAAGAAAAGTCACAGATTATATATTTGCACATGAGACATCTTTCCCGTTTAATAATTGTTTTCAAAATCCGAGAGATAAGCAGAGACACTGAAGCTAACTTATATCCTCTTTTACAAAAGCTAAACTAGCTTATCAAAGATCAACCAGTGTTACATAAAACGACGACAAAGATTTTTATGAATATGTTGTGACATCACGCTTACCCATTATTGACGCTAATCGCACTTTTGGTGATATTTTAGATTTATAAAAAACGGCCGACCGGAAAGTACCGCTCGCCTCTCCTCAATATATAAATCTAACATAAAATATTTAAAGGCTATTTAAGTATGCTCAAACGTTATTTCACCTGTGAATAACGGACTTAAGTCAAAGAAGCAGCATATTGTGGTGCCTTTCGCGAAGAAGAGGAATTTTGCAAATTTAAATTAATTGTATTAAGGATTTTACTTAATTGAAATTGTCTGTTGACTAATGTATTGGAGAATTTGTTTATGGCCGTTAAACGCTTTCGTTAAACTATTTCCAGTTCTTTGTTTCCTAACAGCAGGAGAGGACGGGAAGCGGGGGTTAAATTTCTTGATCAATGCTCCCTAAATAGAAATTCTCGGAGGGGGGTTGTGAAAAAAGAGCGATTTTAAGGTATCTTGTCGGTCGGCTTTCGTTTGGCTAGAGAGAGAAAGTTTGTGTATGCAAGATAAATTGCGCTTTCGATGTTCAGAAGCCACATTTTATTTGGGGTTTTGTTACTGGAAAATAATTGACGTCTTTGTTTCTCTGCTTTGTGCAGTGGGGACTTTGTAAGTGCTCTGTTGATGAAACGACGAGTATTTGTTAAACTATCAATCAAAAAACGGAAAAAGAAATTTATCGCTTCGGAAGATAAGGGGTCAAATTGTTTGTCAAGAGCTCGGTCCAGATGACATGCTTACTTGGATGGTTGTCCAGATGACATGGTTGGTGGGATTGTTTTTCACGCTGCATAGGCTAGAACTTAATTTTATGTTTACTTTCAGCATATGATATTTTGATGGCGTCGGAATCGAGATTTCGTTGAAGGTTGCAAGAGAGTAAAATTGAGATTTGTCTGAAACTTCCAGGAGAAAAACAGCAGGGAAGAGGGGCCAGCTTTCTTTACTAGTGTTGTGTAGCAAATTCACTTAATTATTTTAATTACAGCTTATTACAAATTTAATTAATCAATATTCTAAATTTATGCTACACAACGTGTATTTTTGTTAATATTTTTACTGATTTGGTTTAATTTTAATTGGGTTTTTTGTACGAAAGTTTGGTAACTTCTTTTCACTCGTTACTTGCAAACGCGCTGAAACACACAATGGAATTGGGTGAATTTCTAAGTAATAAACTTTATTTTATATAACTTAATTTAAGTTTAACTCTTGTTAATTAACATCAATAGAAGCAGAAAAATTAGCTCTGTAATTTGAGATCACTTTCATGATAGCTTTAATAGATTTTAAGTTAAAGCAATTTATTTTACAGAAATTTGCAATGTCATTGTCCAAAAATTCCTGGGGGAAAAACGTTAGTAAGACAAGTTTTTAACAGAATTTCTTGTTCTGCTGTTGACACTGGAGGCGATTTCCGGTGGGGAAACTGTAGGACTGCCAGTTTTGACCTCGCAGATGGCTTTAGGGCTTTAGGCGTGGCCTTGGTTTGGCGAGAATTAAGTTCGTTTTTAGTTCAACGTTTGAAAAAAAGAAGAAATTCTGCATAGTGTAAGACGGTGGTTTTCAACAACTGTTTTTTTCACCTTTTCAGGCGTGTGTTGGTCAATATAGCAGTCCTGTCACATCTATAAGCAGCTGCATTTTCTTGATTGCTCTCTTAAAAGCGCCGTTCACACTGGAACATATCGGAGCTAACGAACACATCCGACGCAAATAGGTCTTCTGCTTTATGCCATCTCGTTTTCGGCTCTTCGTTTCGTTCCGTTTTGCGTGAAGGTCTGCAAAATGCATACTGCTTGCGTCTTAGGAGCAGCGATGGGAGGCGAAAACCTTGTACTCGGGGCCTTGGCCCAAGAACCGCTAACTTTCTAACTTGCTGTAACTGTTTCTTTTAAGAGACATTATCGCATTAACCGTCGATATATTTTCTTCAATATCTACCATAGAGACTTTCGAGATGAATAATCTTCTCTTCAAAGCAATGTTTTCACAACAACTATCCATAAATGTTTCTTTTATCACCATATGCTGTCCATCAAACTCAGGTCACTAGGATGATTTGTGCATCCTCTTCAAGATTTCCCTGCCAAAAACATCCGTAGAATTTGCTGACTTCATAAGCCTCTTCTCCTGTCTCTTCTAATGGCGTTGCTGACTCCTCCTTTCTGGGTTATCTTCGTCCGTCAAAGAATTATGCAAGTTCTTATCGTTTCAATCCACGCTGTTTGATGGCCGTCCCCTTGTTTTCTTCCCTGGATCCTTGAGGGTGACTTCTGAGTTCTCACTTTCAGTCTCTGTCGGCTTGTGATGAAAATGCTGAATGTCTTACCGAAGCAGCAAGAAAAGTTAAAAATTTTATTTTTGTTTGATTAAAAGTTTTCAGAAAGTTTTCAACTTTATATAAGAATAATTTATCCTTTTCTAACTTAAAGAGTTGTAGAATTTAGCCATATAAGTTTTTATCCGTTTAAGAAAATTGTGGTTCTATTCAATGCCCATGGAGTTTCCTCCATGTAAATGATAATAATCTTAATGGTAAATTTTTAGTTGTCTAAGTAGGAGAATCTAAATAATGTTTGAGATAGGTGTTTGCTGTGTTTTTCTGTCAATGAAGTAAAATTTGGAAAAGAAATTAAATCTGTGCAATAGAAAATTTGTATCTCATATCCCTTCCGGTATTTGTGCAATTAATAGTTTTTAGAAACCTTCGTTAGAATGATTTTCTGCTTATAAAATGTCTGTACTCTAATTTTTACCCTGTCATCCTAGCATTATTATGTTCATTTAAAAAATGTGTTGTGATTAAGTACTTTGCTTCTAGATCTGTTCTTAAATATACAGTGCTAATAATTATTGTTCTGGAAAATGGTTACCCTGTGTGTTAAAGAAAATAGTTAATGGTTTTATTTCCCCGGGGAGGGTTTGTTTATTTTAATTGATTATAATAGACATGTTTTGCTCTAAGATATTTGACCTATTAGATGCAATACTACTTCGAAAAAAAATTCACATTTTTATTATTGAACGAAATGAATGATATGTTTTATTTTACTTTACTCTTGACACTCACCAGTCGACGGATTTAGGGTCTTTACGGTTAATACACACCGCAATGGGAAAAATTATTTTGTCTAGATTAGGTAGTTAGGAAAATTAAATGTGTTATAGTGTCCTTCCTAAACGGCATTTAATACTAGGCTTGCCTGCTGAAGCGGTAAGACTGCAGCAAAGCAAGCTGAACCCGGGGAGATCAGTGTAAAGCGGTGCTTATTCTCAAGCAATGTGTCAGATAGTTAACTAATTAAATTTATATTATCATTATTATTATCAGAATGAACTTATGGATATTTCTTCTGTCATGTTTGTGAGGTTGTGTATTAATCTATTAAATTACCGGCTATCTCTGAGTTTTAGAATAACTATGTATTGGTGAACTGATATGTTTTCAGAAGTTCCATCAGAGAAAGTAATGTTATAGATAATTTTGGGAGACAACATAAATATAGAATCTGGGTAATAAAATTTTATTTTTTCATCCTTATTGAAGTACATGTTTCGATTTTTATACCAAGGCACCTGAGAAGATTTATTCTTCTTTACTTTCAGGTTATAGAATTAGTAACTTTGATTTTGAGGTCTGAATTTTGAATTAATTTACTTAATTTAAAGTTATGTAGATATTGATTAAATAGAGTTCCTTAGATCAATCATCCAATTCATTCTCGGAGTTCAGTTTTTAAGTTTTATTCTTTTATTTTTGTCCACACAGATGGTGAAAGTTAAATCATCTTAGCTTAAAGTTTTTCTGTGAAGTAATTGGGATGTTTGGAACAAAAACAATTTCAAGATGCAGAAAAAATTGAAAAGAAGGAAAACCATTATAACATGAAACAAAAGTCTCAGTGAGTGAAATTTTAAGTCAGAAGCTATATTTTTATTCATGTCTCGAGTTCAACAGAATTGGTATCAAACATTTATTTCTTCTAGTACCTTTTATGGGAGTACTTAATGGGTAAATCCATTAAGTACCGATAATCCCGATAATTTACTGAATTTACCAATTACAGATGACCAGTGGCTGAAATCTTTGCACGGCTTGATTTATTTACTATTTGCCATTTTTATATGAATACTATCTAACAAAATCTGCAAGCACATTTACAAGCTCGCATCATTTCGCCAAAAAAAGATCAATACAGCGATTAAAGAAGACATGTTGTAATGCCAAAGCGAATACAAAGACCAATAAATTTTGCAGAAGCATAAACATTGATGATGATTTTCTTCCAAGCTCGATACCTTGTTTTGATATCTTGTTCAGACACTGAGATCCTTAGGATAACACACTTAGGATAATTGATAGAATGTCATTAAGAGCCGAACTAGGGTATAATTCATATCTAAGGAACTCTTTCTTGAAAACTTAACAGGATATCGTAAACGCATAACATGATATGGAATGGTTCTTACAATAATCAAGAACAATTTGTTTATAATCGGTTAAGACACGTAAGGTTGCTAATAAATGCTGAGAAATATTTTCAAGATTCTCAGAAAGTTAAACCTGGACGTACCCAATTAGAACGCTATTTTGTCGTTTATTGTTCTTTGAGTTATCATCAAAATTTAGGAAATTAGTTGAATATTCATAATTGAAACTAGGAAAGATAATAAGGCTTAATTACCTTTACCTTGGTTGTTATTTAGATTCACATTTCGATTTTTATATAATTAACTGCATAATTTCTCGGATGATTATTCAAAACCTTGACAAATTATAATATGCATTCCCATTCGTTACTGAAAATGTACTTTTGCTAAATTTAAGAATGAAAAATAGTTGTTGTAATCCAAATATATATACACAATAAATCTGGAAGAATTGGAATATATTCTAGCAGTACAAATATATTGAAGCAAATGATATTCAAATGCTCTTAACATGTTTCATTTCAAAAATTAGATTTACGTTTTCTTCTTTGATTTTCTAAAATAACCGGTA